CCCCCTCTCAAGAGTGTCCCTGATAAGAAACCTAAATCCGAATGGCCGCAAGAAGGCCAGATTGAATTCAAGAACACGTTCCTGCGTTATGCGCTATTGGAATCTCCAGTGCTTAAAAATCTCAGTTTCGTTATCTTTCTACGAAAAAAAATCGGCATTGTTGACAGAACCGGCGCCGGCAAGTCATCTCTGAGCGCTCTTCCACCTGATCGATGTGGATCTGATTAAGATCAATAAAGTCAATACTCGCCAGATTGGTTTACATGATTTGCGTTCTAAAATCAACATCATCTCGCGGGAACCGTTTCTGTTCTCCGGTAGCCTGAGACAGAATCTCGATCCGTTCGACTCGTTTACGGACGAACCACTATGGCGAGCTCTTGAGGAGGTCGAGTTGAAGGAGATGGGCTTGGAAGTCCACATCAGTGAGGGCGGTTCCAATCTCAGCGTCGGCCAACGGCAATTGGTCGGCATGGCGCGAGCTATTATGAGGAACAATCCAATACTCGTGCTGGACGAGGCGACCACGAATGTGGACCCGCGAACAGACGAACTCATCCAGACAACCACCAGGAAAAAATTCGAGAAGTGTACTGTGCTAACAATTGCTCATCGACTCAACACCGTTATGGACAGCGATCGTATCTTGGTGATGGACGCCGGAAACGTGGTGGTGAATCAATTTTCTTTTATATTGTCTTTTTATCAATTTTATGATTAGAGCGACCCATCGAATGTATTTAAGTAGGTCACAAAATCTTTCCTTTCTGTGGTTGTGGAAAATCAATGTAACTATGAATTTAGTAAGTCACAAAATCTTTCCTTTTTGTGGTCGTGGAAAATCAATGTAACTATGAATTTATCGGTCATTCTTGTGACATAAAATATTTTATTGTATGAATCCTGCGAATTTATCCTTTGATCATTTTTGTATTGTTTCATTAGAGTTTTTGTTGAGTAAGTCACTTATTAGTTGATACAGAATTACAAAATCTTTGACTATATAAATAATACTGATTACGTTAAGAAAATACTTCATTTCTTTTTTATTTATAATAGTCTCGATATAAACTATCTCTTAAACTGCGAACTTTTATATATCGTACGCAGAAATTCGATCATCCTCACATGCTGCTGCAAAAAGACACGGGCTACCTGAAGAGCATGGTGCAGGAGACCGGCAAGGCAATGGCGGAGGATTTGTCTTCCGTCGCTCATAACTGCTATCAGAATCGTGGATTTATGGCGTTTTGATGTATCCACGTAGTTAACTTTTTGCAATTGCGTCAGATGAACACCATGATTAGGTCATGAAGATTCCGACAGTTTTTGCCATTATTAGGCCAAATTCTGTGAATTTAAAAACAAGAAGGAAAGTGGAACGCGCAGTCTGAGAATTTAGAATTCATAATCGTCTACTCTCTTACACATTTATCACGTATTCTACATTCTGTTCGCATTGAAATTTTATTTTAATCTATAAAATTTTTTTTTTTAAATTTATTCAATTCTATAAAATTATAGGACGTCATGGTTTAGGATATTATAATACAAATGAAAATTAAAACTAATTAAGTGTTAATTAAGCGAGATACGTAAAGTACAGAGAGATCAAGGAATGGTCAGAATTCAGAAAATTCGAAGCAAATTGGAACATAAAAAAGAAAATACGTAAATAAATAAGAAGGATAAAGATTATATCAGATTTACGATCTCGGGAATGCCGATTAGGTATTAGAGTATTCAGAACTGGCGAAAATGCGTTGGCGGCACATTATAAATTAATAATCATTCTACCGCAAGCTGTACAGTTCCAGTTAATCTTTCATTTTAATAATCACGGATTCTCTGCTACTTTGATGCTCGATTATCGCCAGTTCAGTAAGCAATCAGAAAATTAGTAAAACTCGCATAGATCACGCCGCTATAATTCGTATATTCTTATTGCCTTGCTTTGTCGACACAGATATGCCACAGTGCATATCTGTAGTATTTGTAAGTGCATAAAATGTAATATATTATTTTATCAGCAACATGGAATCATTGTCGATAAA